CTTAAATATTGAAAATATAATGTACACAAATGATTGATATGTTTTTTTTGATATTTTACCGCAATAAAATTTTGAAATGGTTCACAGAGTGAAATATTAACATCATTATCTATCATTTCTTTGGCATCTTCGAGATCGGATCATAGACGACTTGTCAATTCATATAAATCATCCAACCATCTAAACACAGAACCAACGCGCTAAAAAAAAGCTTCTTTTTCTTCATTTTCACAGCGAAAATTCATCATCAATTATTCGAAGAAATCTACAACATAAACAATAATTGTCTGATTCTTGGTGATCTGAATGCGTCGCTTCAGTCAATGGGATCCAGACGAACTAATCCGAAAGGTCAACAGCTGCAACAATTACTCGATGACGGATATTCGCAATGATCTTACCACCTATGCTCGAAACAATTACGAAGAAAAACTCGATTGGATTTTAGCGATTCAACCTACAACCTTTTTCATTAAAAACGTCGAAACGCAAGTTTCACTCGGACTAAGAGAAGGTCATAAACCACTAACATTAGATCTAAACACATCGGCGGATTTGAAACCATTGTCACCCCATTTATCGTTCAACTTTAAGACGGCAAACTGACAATTGTACCGTCGCAATTTAAATAATCTTCTACGTAATACTGACACATCACAATCAATCAAAACTGTACAGCAAATCGAGTATTTTACAACAGCTCTCACCGACTACATTGTCTCTGCAACAAAGTCATCCATAAAACCGACCAGCCAAACATTAAAAAACTTCCAACCATCAAAAACGACGAAAAACTAATTGAATGCAAACATCGAGCATATCGACAATGGAAGAAGAAAGACATCGGTAAGAAAGAATATTACAACAGCAAATTACTCTTGACGAATGCACTTCAAAATGATCGTATAACCCAGTTCAAGCAAATCATGTTATCGTTGAGCAATAGAAAGATGCATTCATCCAAAGTACGGGCAACAGTTCGAAAATTGAAATGAAATATTTTTATTATAAACTAATAGATACTGCTTTTACCAACACAAGTACAAGTCATATATAGACGATAAAAACAACAGAAAATAATAAAGAGAGCACATATATATACGCGTAGTACAAACATCAAGTAATATTCTTTCAAACTATACAAAAATAAATCGCAACATACAATTTAGTTGCGAGAAAAAAAGCATTGAGATGACCAGCATCATAATAACAACAAAAAATGATGGTAAGAGAGTACAGAATATATCGAAAATAACAGCAAATAATTAGTGTAATGCTACAAGTGTAATGATAACGCAAGTGCTCACTAACAGAAGACAAACAAGCACAAAAAATATTTTGTTATCAATGTTAATTTGTTCTTGAATCTTGTTGTTGTTTTGTTTTGTTTCACGTATTAATCTTTTTATCTGTTTCTTTACATCATTTTGGCTCTGAGACAAACGGTTGATGTTGTCTTGTAGGGCATTCATCCCTTTTTTCACAGTAATTATTTCATTGGTTACTAGGTTGGTGAGTTCGTCTATACGGAAGAAAGAACAAAGTATGAAGGCTGTCACACTAAGATGTTACTAACGTATTTACCTGTTTTTACCAGAAAAAAACGTTTTCTTTTTGCCATTTTTAATAATAATGGATATTGACCTAATTGTTTTTCAATCTTTTGTTTTACTTCTGTTTCTGGAAAGAATAAGAAAACGAATTGTACGATTTGTTGAATTTCTGGTTGTTGACTACGAGCGAGAGAAAAGTACAGATCGCGTTCTAACTGTGATAATTTTGCAGCGACTTTGTGCTGATTGAGTGAACCTTCACCGAACACTAATTTGTGCTGTGGATTTGTTTTCACGAGTTTGAATGAAGAATTATCATCAATCGAATTTTGTTGAAATTGGTTCGGAAATATATATTCTGCAGTTACTTTCGTTTGTGCGAGTGGTTTAATGATACCCAGGTCGACCAAAACGGATATTCGTTACGGACCGTCTACTGGACGCAGGAATACGGACCGTAACATCATTAAAATAGGGCCGTATACGGCCGTAAATTCACAGTATACGACCCCGTATTACTGTGCCCAGAAACGGTACCGTTTACGGGCCGTATATTGTGAAAATACGGCCGTATACGGCCCTATTTTAATGATGTTACGGTCCGTATCCCTGCGTCCAGTAGACCGTCCGTATATGGACCGTATCGTTCGACCTGGGTAGATATAAAACCGTCGCCGTTGTTTTTGAGTGTTGGTTGATCATCGGTACAAGCGATGAAATCAATTTCGAATGAATATGTACCGCTTTGTATATATATGTACCGTTTTCACTTCATATCATAAATGAGCCATACATGTCTCATTTATGTCTGATTTTCTGCGACCTGGGTATGTGCCTGATCGTGTTCTATAAATTTTCTTTAGACCCTCTTAAAAAAGTATCTTTCTCTATTCATAATATTTTCTAGCATAGGCAGGACACAAACATCCTTAGAATCGTCTTTAACCACGTCCCTTATTAGGGGTGCTAACCGCAGCGCTAGTACCAATGCGTTTTTCTGATTTTTTTTAGGAAAACACGTTGATACTAGCGCTGCGGTTGGCAACCCTGTTCCTTATAGCCATACACTTTATTTGTGCTCAGTTGATGTTTGAAAACGAGGAAAGAAAAAACTTCTAAGTTTTATCGTAAGAACTATGTTATATATATACTCAATAATGTGATAAGAATGAGTTATGGATTCTTGCAAGATCATATAAGATCTTATAACAAGAAATCGTACGATCTTGAAGAAATAAATATAAGTCACATCTTTCAATGACAAGATCTTGTAAGATCATGCAGTAAGATCTTGTTACAGGATTTCATAAGAAAATGGTAGATCTTGCGAGATCTTGTAAGATGAGTTTCACCTGGCGGCCTACCCAGGTCGAACAATACGGTACGTAAACGACCGTATTCGGCTAAATTAAGAAAGAAAAAACTTCTAAGTTTTATCGTAAGAACTATGTTATATATATATATTCGACGGATGTATATAGTGGTATTTCAAGTGCTGCTCGTATTGCTTTGTTTTGTGTAATTTGTAATCGTTCCCACAAATTACACAAAACAAAGCAATACGAGCAGCACTTGAAATACCATCATATACATCCATCGAATATATACATCAGCTTAGCAACATCCCCAGAATTAAACCATACGCCACAGCATTACTCCAACAAGCAATTACAACAGCACAAAATTATGAAGACAATATATCTGAAGAATCTCTGACACTCATCCTAGCAAAGTTTTAAACATCTTTTGTTTTTCAGATTTATTCTTTTCCTAAGTTCTGTTTTATTATACGTGTTATATGATGGAATCGGCGACTTTATGTAGATCACCATTGAAACAAATAGCAAAGATTGAAACTTTAATAATCACGAATAAAATCAAAAACTGAATGTAGAGTAATTATAGTGATCTTGATTTTGAAGGACCTGGGGCAAAAGCATGTGACCATATTTCTATTAATTACGTTCTAGGTTCTTGTCGGCATCGATTCTCTTCTTTTTGCATGATCACTTTTGTGAAAAATAATCAATGGATGACTGAGTTCTGTTGGAATACTTAATTAAACATTCAAACGTAGAAAAGGTTTAAACTCTTTCTTTTCGTAAAAGGTTAGTTTTTTGCATGATGTTCAAAGCTAAAGACCAGCTGGGTTCGTAATCGTCCTATATTTATGAAAATGGTCCTATATTGTCCTATATTTCAGGCATTTGTCTTATATTTTCTATATTTGGGGGAAAAGTGGGGTTATGCTGAAATGAGTTGTATTTGATCGTGAAAAGACATATGCGCTTTCTTACACATATTGCCACTCGTTTTCGCAAAGAACACGTAACTCATTGTACGTATTATTTCTTGACTGTTGTATTTGAACGACTAAAGGGCTCTTTTTTGAAGGGAATAATGAGTATAAAACTGCTACAAAGTACATGATAAGATTTTAACTAAATCTTTCACACATCATTATCAGGAAAATGAACATAGGAAGAAAAGATTACTAATAGTCTGTACTTGTGAGTATAAGACGAAGAAATTAAAGGAACACTTTTGCTAGTAGGAACAACGTGCCAGTAAAAGAATCTATTGACATTGCACTAGATATGTTATATAAACCAAAGAAAATAGCTGATATACCCTTCAGTCGACAACAAATGAAAAGACTACTAGAATTAGCCGTTTGTGATGTGCCGTTCAGATTTATGAGTAATTATTACGTGCAATCTGATGGAATAGCAACGGGTTCGCCACTTGCAGACCTATTTATTGCAAAACTCAAAACTAAGTTAAACAGATTTTCTACCAATAAACCACTACTATGGCTTCGATATGGTATATTTCGCATATTCACAACAAAACAGAATATTAACCATGTTTTTCCTTTGTGTGTTTTTTTGTGAAGTAAACTTCATTATATCGACATTTGCATCAATTTGAACACATATTCATATTCAATTCAGTCGATGACCTCCACAGAGATAGCCTTTGATGGTCTCAATGGTACTCTGGTGTTTTTTCACCATACTAAACGGTGATGGTTTAATGAAAAGTATATTTGTCCACTAGAGAAGTCCTACAGAATTTATTTTTTTGTATGAAAAATTCCTTGTATCCTTACAGGAACGTTGTACATCCTATCATAGAACAAGTAAGTATAGACCATCATTACCAGCATATTTAATACAAGCATTAAAGCATCGACGAAATATTGTTAATCTATATCAATCAACAAAATCATCAGATACAAAACAGTTACTACAACAACTGAGTAGATTCATCAAACATGAAATGAAAATGATTAAAACAGCGCGATGGAAAAAACTTTGTTTAGCACTACAACTAAAAAATACATATAAATTCTAAAACTGTACTACATATCTATTTAAAAGACGAACACTACCCATAAAAGGACTTCTCACTGATAATCAACATATTATAACCGAAGCAAATGGTATGGTAAACCATGCACATAAACATTATTCTAATTCGTTTAAAAGACATGCCGATGACGATATTGAAATTTTAACATTTTATCAAAATTTACACCAAAAGGTGGATGATTTGCCATCAAAACCATTTTTATTCCAAATGCTCGGCCTTGTTCAATCAATTCAAACATTAAAATCAAAAACATCAGCAGGGCATGAAAAAGTATCGGACAAATTAATTAAGCTACTTGCTCGTTCACATTGTAGTTTTATATTAATTACACTCAACAGTTTATTAGTTAAAAATGAATCTTTTAATTACTGGAAAAAAGGTGAAATGATCTTACTGCCGAAAGATAAAACAACATTAATAGATATTAACAACACCAGACCAATTAGCCTTCTACCATGTTTAGGAAAACTGTATGAAAAATCTTTCCTGATCTATCTAAGAAAGTGGATGACAGATAACAACATTTTACCTAGCGAACAGTCAGGATTGCGGTCAGCACATTCAACTACCACCAGATTTACACAATTTATTCAGGATGTTAGCACGTCATTACAACAACACATCGCAGCACTGATCTTATACACTGATTTTTCAAAAGCATTTGATCAATTGTGGAGACGTGGTTTGATTTATAAATTGCATAAACTAAGATGTCCAAAAGAATTGCTATAATTCATTATTGAATATTTAGACACCGGAACATGCCAAATAGTAATAAACGACCTGCTGTCCGATGTATTTGATGTACTCTCTAAAAAGAATAGGTTTATTGCGAAACCTAAAAGGGTATAGAGAAGTGCAACCATTTTAGGTTTCGTATGGATCCCTTTTCCGTAATGAACCAATTTTTTTAGAGAGTAGACAGTGGAGCACCACAAGGAAGTGTTTTAGGCCCGGTTTTGTTTCTACTATTCCATGATAATATACATGTCGCCAGAAAGTCCATCATCACAACATATCCATATGTATGCAGATGATATAGCATTCGTTATTCATGCATCACCATGATGGAAAAGTACAAAGGCGATGACAAATATTCAAAAAATTGCACAACAAACATTAAATGAATTAAAAAAATATTCATCCAGATGGAAACCACCAATAAACTACATAAAAACAAAATATCAATGGATTCACAAACGTAGAACAATTTCATCAATTGTTTTATTAACAAATCAACATGAAATTGCAAGAACAAAATTATTCAAATATCTTGGCAATTATATTGATTAAAAATTGTCATTGGATAAACATGTTCAAAATATATTGACGAAAATAAAAACCAACACACCAATGATAACATATGTAGCACAATCAAAAACGTCATCGTATCATGCCAGAATGTTAATCTTTAATACTTACGTACTACCATATTTCCAGCAGCTCTATTCCATTTATCCACTGTACCAGATTCCACAAAAGACAAAATAGCAGCTATAAATAGACAAGGACACAGGGTAATAAACCGATGGTACGATCCCATGAATGATGAAATTAAATTCACGCACAAGTTCAAAACAATTACTGGCCGTGCAAAGAATTTTTTACGCAACTTCATAAACAAAGCACACGCTTATTCCAGAACTATTTGAAAAATATACACAATCGAGATCAATGTAAATGTACTTACACATGCACAATCAATCTCCATTCATTCAGCATCTGAAGTTCAGATGCTGAACGTAGGAAGGCAAAGTGCAACTGTGAGAAGATGGTTAGATCAAGAGGACAGATATCTTTATAAACTAATGGCATTTATGCAAAATTAAATCTTCGCTAGCTTCTTACGCTCTACAAATTTTTTTTTCTTTTTCGTAAAACAGGTAGTAGGGGTTTTAAACCTAACACTACACTACTGTTAACAAATTGTCGACATTTTCTAATCTGTCTAATAAAACAATAGAACAACAACAAATGGAAAAAGAAGCGGATACCCAGCAGAAAAGAGGGAGAAAACTGATTTTTTATTATCTTCGGTCTCTTTGAAAAACTGATCACCTTTACTTTAAAAAGTAGCCGATTTTTTCTAAGTGTATTCATCAGCATAGTTTGTAACATCTCAACTTTGTTTAAAAATAAGTCTCGGCAATGTCAATCACTGTAAAATTTGTATCGACGATGAGTATGTATTTCCATTTGTCAAATGTGAGACAGGGATGAGAGATATCAAATGCAATCATATCGCCTACTCTTAAATCGTCGCCTTCTCGAATGCGCATAAAGGCATGTTGATCCATCAAACCTGTCACCTCCCATATATTATCCTCCATTTTTCGAGGTTCAGCCCAACCAGAGCGATAGTGAAGTGAAGGCATGGGATATCCCGCATCGAAAGCGACATCACGCTTTCCCATTGAGATAATTGCTCGATTTGACTCTGGTATGGATTGAACATACGCCCAAATATGTAGAGCAGGACGAAGGCCCTGGCCTATCTGTTTTGCAATTGGATTTCGTTGCAAAATTTTCTCTTGAGCTGTTTTGTATGTCCCAGCATCGTGAGACAGGTAACATCCTGGTCGTAAAACAATTTCAACATCCGTTCTATTGCCCACTACCTTATCAAATTCTTCTGCGACTACATCATACCATGCACTTCCAGCACCAGTCAAAATTGCCGGACGGTAACGTATATCTTTATTGTCCACCAATTTTACAGTCCATTCAGCTACTCGTTGTAGAAGCGTACGAACTGATTGCTCTTCGCTTAAAACACCTTCAAAAACTTCGACGCCTGCTAGCATAAGATTATCAGGCCATTGACGAATAGCAGTTAGAACGGCATCACGCTGACTTTCATCTCTTACACCTGTTCTTGCATCATTCATACCAACTTCAAGCAGAACATTGAGACATTGTTCAGTCTCTTTAAAATATTTACCAAGCTGATTAACATTTTCAATCGAGTCCACCAAACAAAAGAATTCAAAGGTTGAATCAACAAGAAGACTCGATATAATTGACATATTTTGTTTTCCAACTAATTGATTAGCCATCAAAACACGTCGAACCCCGCCTTCATACGCTGCTTGAACTTGAGGTGCAGTGGCCAGCGTAATGGGAATGTTTCGTTATCACGGCATCCACATACAGTTTGCCTATTAGTTGTATTTAGATGTTTGAAACTACGCGTGATAGACATACGGCTTATTTCCCCATGCTCCTTGTTTTAACTGTCTCGAGAATAGTTTTGGAGCCATTGTAGTTTTCCCATGTGGTGCCAATTGAAAGTTATATTCTCGTATGAATCGTTGCATCCACCGGAGATTATGATCAATACATTCTTCATATAACACAGCAGAAGGTAAACTAATATTTTCCTTCAATAAATTCCAGTTTAAATCGGCAACGCAAGCAGCGTTTTTATCCACTTTACCCAAACCCTTACCAGATAAGTCTTTCAAATTCATCATTTTAAGAGTTAAATGAGACTCACCTGTATTTAAACAAAAAGATAAACATCGACACATCTGTTTTTCTTCCTCTGATTAGCCAACATATTATGTTTGAAGTACAGAACTTCTTAAACATAACAAATGCGTGAAATGACTGTTTTATTTGAAAGCGTGACTATATTTATAAAACCTATGAGCGATTTTTCTGTCCTCGAAATTATATAATCTATTTGAAAGGGTGAACGCCGCTGTCTTTGTTTGAGCCCTAAAAGTACAATATGCGTAGTAAAATTTATCACGAGAAAGATACTTACTCTCTGACATGTAGCAATTATATAATGAATGATAGTACATAACAATGCATCTATCCAGCTCATTCAACGGTTAAAAACGTAAACCCAAATCGTTCAATGGTATTCGGCAAATGATGCAAAAATCATTTGCGGTTACATCCCAACTCCAAATACTGACGACGAAGAGTTTGGTCTCAAGCCGTCCATTAATCTTCATCATTACGAGTTATATCGGCGTTTTTCAACTGATTTTCTAGTAGTTATAGTAAATTTCATCGTCAACAGCATGCTCAGTATCTAACAGAGCAAGCTCTGATGAATAAATGTTAATTCAAAACTTGACTGACCTACAATTTGTGAAGTCACTTGTCTCGGGGAGTCATTTATTTAAAATGTGTCGAGTAGCTGCGATTTTGTGTTTTTTATTTGTCCATTTCATTTCTTGATACTTTTACTATTAGGGGAATTTTTTCCAAAATAAAGATAAGTAATAAATCACAGTAAATATTTATTTATTTTAACACTATTTATAAAGATTCATAGATTTCAAATATATTTATATTCTACGTAGACTATAAGTACACTGGAATGGTTGCAGAAGAATTTACAAAAAAGGAAAAAAATCTAAAACCGTAGAAACACAACAACGGACAGCTGACTCTAATGGTTCACAACAACGTTTTGCAATACAATCTCATCACTCAGACAACTAATCCCAG